TCCCAAACAAAATATTTTCAATATGTGCCCTCAATGTATCTATATTTATCAACCATTTAATCATATTCTGTACCTATGATGTTTTATATATTGTAAAATGTTATAATCTACTTAAACACAAGAGATAAGCATATTTTAAAAACAAGTTTTAACTAATGATACAAAACATTAGTGTGGGTGAAGGCATTGTGATACTTCATTCGTTTTGAAAATCTTGCTTTAATACTTGGCTATAGAGCTATTTGAAAGGTTTGTTTTATGTTGTTTATTTTGGTACTTGGTTTTAATGACTGTTGTAATTCAGAGCTCATAAAGATGCATAAATCCAGATAGAAGGGCATTGTAAACTGGGCTGACTACATTGTGATGTTTATCAAACAGGCAAAAAAAAATTTTTTTTTAAGGTTTATTTATTTGAGTGAGAGAGAGCATGCAAGGGAGAGCGAGAGTGCATGAGCAGGGCGAGGGGCAGCAGACTCCCCACTGAGCAGGAGCCCAATGTGGGGCTCAATCCCAGGACCCTGAGATCATGACCTGAGCCAAAGGCAGATGCTAAACTGACTGAGCCACCCAGGCATCCCTCAAAACAGGTAAAAATTTTTGTTGAAATTCACCAGTAAGAGTTGTCTTCCCTAATTTCAATTAGGTAGTTGCTCATGAAGACTGATATACAGGTTCTATTTTGCTGGATAATTTTCATTTACTCCTCCAGATTTACTCTCCACCTTTATGCAATGTGCTCTGTGCCCTAGGATGCTGATTTCTAAGGACTGCATCTACTGGTCTGCCTTGTGTTCTGGCTTCTGATTGGGTTCGGTCAGGGGGAGGCACTGACAGGAGGACAGAGAGGGTTGGGATATTCTAACAGTTTTTTCTTTGCTGGGCTACAGATTGTCAGTAACTGTGCTCCTTCATTCTGTGGCCCCCTTTATAATTATAGCTTTCTTTGTGTCAGTAACTATCCCTTCTCTTTCCCCTTTTGGGCATAGAGTGATGACAGCTCCCTAGCTAGCCCAAGAGTGCTTCACTGTCCCTTTCTAGTTTTCCTTTAACCCTGGCTACACATTTGTGAATAGTCTCTTCATTAAACATCATGTTCTTTTTAGTTATCTTGCTGGGATCCTGAGGGCTGCAGTTGTATTTAAAATTTTTTTAAGTAAATGGGTTAAAAAAATGAAACTCTTTATTTAGAATATTTTTAAACAGATTAGATAATTGTTTCCAAGTTTTAATTGTGCAGATATAATTTTTATAGGTGAACATTTATATTGTTTTGATAACAAAAACAAAAAAATTACATAAAAATGGAAACCTTTTCAAACATCTGTTTTTAGTGGGGGAGGGCGGTGTTAGTACATATATTAACCATAAGTAAAGCTTTATATCAATTCACTTTTTCTTTACTACTTACTCTAATAATTTGAAACAGAATTAAGCCTCTGAATTCTGAAATTTGGAATGTATTAACAACACAGAAAAGACCTTTCATGCTTTTTTTTTTTTTAAAGAAAAAGGATAACTAAAACTCAACGGTCAGCTGTAACTATTGCTTAGCTTTTGCTTATAGGTAACAATCTGTTCCTTTCAAACTGTGGTCAGACTGATTTTATAAAATAATTTTCTGAGTAGGCGGGGAAAAAAGCTTGAATTTTAGAAAGGGAGAGTTATTTTAGCATGTTTTGTTTACTGATTATCTGACAATTCTTATTTGGAGGTGAGACTTATTTTTATCTTTTTGCATTTTATTCTCTGATACATGAAGCCCAACTAGTTAGTAACACATGTTATAGAGAAAATCGATGACTGGAATTTTTCAACTTAAATTTTATGTATGTAAATTTAAAATGAAAAATAGCTTGCTCTGTATCCTTACAAATATCCCTCGTGCACGTGTGTGTGTGTGTGTGTGTGTGTGTGTGTGTGTGTGTTTGAGGCTCTGAAGTTACATCCATTAAAAAACAAAATCCTTATCTTCCTGGAACTTTCATTCGGGTGAGACCAAATAAATAGATAATTATACAATATAATTTAGTGATAAACAGGAAGAAAAAGAAATGGGTAAGGGAACAAAGAGTAATAGGGGATCCTTTACTAGTATGATGGTCAGGGAAATCCTCTCAGGTATGCTGGCATTTGAACAGATTTGGATGAAGTGATAATGCCTAGCCATACAGATATTGGGGGGGAAGAGTTCCTTATATGAGGACAAGGATGATCAAGGGCAAAGTTGATGTTGGTATGACTGAAAATAATACAGAGGCTTTAGTGGCCAGAACACAAAGAGCTATGATGAGCAAAGTAGTAGAAAATGAGGTCTGGAGAGGTAGATACTTTGGATTTTAAGTGTAACTAAAAGGCTTTGGAGGAGACAGAGCAGGGGAATGACATGATCTGACATGATCTGACTACCTGTTAAAAGGATGACCTGGGTTGCTGCAAGGAGATCAGAATAGAAGCCAGGATGCCTGTCATGGTGACATCCTGATAGTCTAGGTGAGAGTTTGAACTTGTGTGTGTGTATTACACAAATACACATACTATTTGGTGCCATATGTATGTTTACATATACATATATATAATTACTTTCGGGTTAAAAGATACATTCAGAAACTTTTACATTCAGCAGTGTAATATGGACATCTTTTACAGTGAGTACATACAGACTTCCTGATTCCTTTTGATGGATGGATGTTATTCCATGTTGTGGTATACATTGTTTAATCTATGTATAAAAGGACATTTATGTTTACAGGTTGTTTTTTTTTTTTAATAACAATACTCTCTGTGTGAGAGAGAGAGAGATTGCTCACAGTTGTGGAGATATGTCTATAGGGTAAATTCCTAGGACCGTGATGGGTCAAAGGATATGCGCAGATTAAATCTTAATGATTATTACCAAATTGACTTCCAAAAATGCTGTGCCAATTTTACATGTCCAATAATGTTTTGTGAAAATTTTTCTTTTCTAGATTCTCCCCAACACTGAGTGTAATCTTTACACTTTTTAATCTTTACACCTTGAAATGAAAGAGACGTCATAGTTTTCATTCTTGTATTTTAATTATGAATGATAAATATCAAAGTATGTACATTTTTTTTGGATGAGTAATAAAGGATACTAATTTCTCTTTGGTCTTTATTCTGAGAAAATACTGTTTAAAAAAGTAGTTTATATAACTTCATCTTCTCTACCTGTAAGAGTGAAATTAAAAGATAAAATTTAGTGTCTGACTTGCTTACATAATAATTTAGCCGTGTGACTTACTATTTCCATCAACTTTTATCCCTGGTGCTCTGCATATGCTGTGACCTTTGAGATATCATCACGTTTCAATGCAATATTGTTCATTAATGTTCTCTTCCATCAGTATTGATGAGGAAGTAATTAAAATTATAGAACTAGTTAGTTCACCAGTAAAATGAACCCAAGTATACCCATTCAGTATCTGTTATTGCCAGTCATCTTATTATCTTTTGGCCCACATTCCTTTTGGCCCAATTAGCCATCATACAGATCTATGCTATTATGCATAAAATAATCAGCCTGAAACAATATGGTTAGATTAGCCCAAATTCTTCAGGATTACTTGAAAACTAATTTAAAAGTTCATGCCCTACTTAAAGCTGAATCAGTTACAACATTATCTCCTTATAACAAAGAAAACATATAATAGTGCCATAGTTCAGTAGAATCTTGCTCCAGATGGCCTGAGACTAAGATTGTTATAAAAGTTTTTAGAGTAAATGTGAACAAAGTCCAGGATGGAAAGGCATTTGATTGTATTTCATACCATAAAAGTTTGTCTTATTGAACCTTAGCCTATTTTGTATTAAAGAAAGCCTATAGGAAAGCAGGAAAATTTGATTACAGGGTCAACTTTTAATTTACATAAAATTCATCCAGCATATTGAATGCTTACTTGGGGTATTGACTTGATTTTGTCATTGTAGAAAAAACATGTTCAAAACCTTCAGAGGCTCTGGCATATTTTACAGAGGTAGAAGAGCAGATATTTTCCCTAATGCTTTTTATACTTAGCCTTTTTTTTTTTCAGATAAAAGTTCAGAAGTCAGGTTTTAATTTAGACTTAAAAACTTGCTAAGATTAGTGTTTTTCCAGTGTAAATGGTTTTAATCATTTCAAATTCATTAAGGGTATTTATAGGTAATTAAACTGCTGAGAAACTTTATCAGTATTTTCAAGTATTAGATTAGTATCTTAGTGCATTAATAGAATATTATAGGGTAGGGAGACATTTGTGTGACATTGAAAAGGGAATCTTGATTCCTAGATTCTTTTTATAGGTTAGTCAGGTTTCCAAATTTGCACTTCTATATCGTATATTGTAATGTTTGATTTGTTTATAATTTCTTTAAGTGTTTATGTACCATGGATTTTCTCTTCCAAGATGTTTTTGTAGTATTGTGCATTTTCCTATACCAATGATAGGTAGTATGAAATATATGAAGAAATGTAAAAATAAGCTGCATTTAATTTTGCAAATAATAAACTTTTTTCCATTAAAGAGATAGTGTTTTAATCCTTAATTTTAATGTGAAAGACTCATATATTTCTTTTTTCTTTATTTATTTGAGAGAGAGAAAGGGAACATGAACAGGGGGAGGGACAGAGAGAGAGGTAGAGAGAAGAGCAGACTCCCTGCTGAGTGGGGAGCCTGACCTGGGGCTTGATCCCAGGATCCCAAGATCATGACCTGAGCTGAAGTCAGATGCCCAACCGACTGAGCCACCCAGGCACCCCAAGATTTATATATTTTTTAAATGTAGGGAAGGGTCTGTCATTCAGACTGATTTTATGATATGGGTAAGGAAAATTAGAAATTAATGTAGGGCAGATAAAAATCTGGAGCATAGCTAAGTAAGGTTTAAATATATACTTTTTACATAGTTAGCAAAAGAGATTATTAAGATGCTGGTTAAGAGGGTTTATTGCTTACCCAGAAGATTTGACCTTATGAATTGACTTATTCTTCTCCAAGGCACTTGAGAGAAAAGACAACGATAGCAGTTACATCTAGAGGCTATTATGGATTGGAGGATGAGAAGGGAACTGCATGTACCTCAACAAGGCGTCGGTCAACACCACGAAGTTTGGCAGGCTTGACAAGTGGAGTTTTTGAATCTATAATGGTTCAAGTTTTGAGACAGGAAGAACAGCTGAGAGCAAAAGAAGAAAAAAGGTAAATGTTAAAAAAAAAAAAGTCATTTTCAAATTTCTAGGAACTACTTTTCAAAGAGTAGCTGTATAACTTTTGTATGCCCATATCAAATTTTGGGCCCATTTTAGTAGTGTTAACAAAATGCATTGTCACTCAAGTTTGAATTCATAATGAAATATCACAGTGAAATTTGTTTAAAAATATAGTTTTAAATTTCAAACCAAATTACTTTGAAGCTAAACACAAATTTTTACAAAAGATTTCAGAATGCTTTCTAGATTTCTAGAAGTATTATCAAATGAATTACAAATGAAAATAGAAGTATTGTCAAATTTTAAATTAGAAGAGTTTTATATAGATTAGTATAGCTTTAAAATAGATTCACAGACCTTTAAAATTAGGAGAAACTCCAGAGATTATGTAGTTCAAAATGATACATAGGTCCACCTCTGCCAGTTCCTCCATTGGTATTAATTTTCTGGATAACTCACCCTACCCTGGGCTCATCAGGAAAGAATGTTGTGCTTAATTAGTGTTACCTTCCTAGGGCCTGGGAGCATAGATTAATGGCATTTGTATGACATAACAAAAGACAGAGGTGATTACTCAAAAAAGACTGGTGATTTTCATAATAAATCAAATCTCAGACTCAAACTATATTAGGAGTGATTGCTGATGTAATAGGGAACTGCTAACGCTACTCAAAGACAATTTATAAAATGTCTTTGTTACTTTCATAATAATAAATTTAGCTTGCTTTGATATTTGATTAAAACTCAAGCTTGAGACTTTCTCCTACCATACTTTTTATTCTAGTGATTAATTCAGAACCCACTGTGAAATACTTTTTTTTCCTTCTACAAAACCTTATAGAGCTATTCCTGCTAAAGGAAAGGGGATTTTATGAAAAGGGATAAAGATTAATCTGACAGTAGTGTATAATAGATTGGAATGGAGAGAAAATGAAGAAAAGGAAGGCCTGTACGAAGAAAGCTTATAGTAGTCTAGATCTTCACTACTGATGACCAGAAATAGGGAGAGAGAGGTCAAATTGTTCTGGGAACAAGTAACAAGACTAAGTACTTCCTTGATACTAAGGAGTAACAAAGGAAGAGACAAAAATAAGTCAGGACATAGTTGTAATAATAGTCATAGCAGCAATAAGAAGATAAGAATGATTAACATTTATTGAACATGATTATTTGCCAGGTTTAGCCCAAAGTACCTTATATGTATTTAACATTTATCCTGAAGCACAGAGAGATTAATTAACTTGCCCAAGGTCAGGCAATTTTTGAGTGGTAGTTAAGATTTAAAGGTAGGCATTTTGGCTGTAGAGCTTGTGCTCCTAACTAATATGCTGTCCTTTTGACTTGTGAAATGATGGAACTAAGAAAGAAAACAGAAGAGCCTGAACCCATGCTATGAGGAAAGATCAGCGAACTCTTTTTAGTAAGTTGTTTAAAGTTGATGAGGGAAACATTTAAGCATCCAAGTAGGAATGGATAGTAGGAAACTAGGATTCTAACGGAATCTTTTTCTTTTCTTCAATTTTACATGTTTGTGTGTCCTTGTGTTTAATGTCAAATAAACATAGGTGAATAAGATGTGGGCAAAAATCCACCTTAAATGTCTTAGTGACTATGATAATTTCATGGAGTAATATGAATTAAACTTTCTCTTTGGGTTTAGTGTTAACTTTTAATTTTTAAATTATAAATATTTTAAACATGAAGCAAAGAATAAAATTATAATGAAAGTCTCCACATACCCACTACTCAGCAATTTTTAAAGAAATTAACATACTTAAAACAGGATTCCCTAGATTTCTCCTTTGTCCCCAGAAGAAACCACTATCCTCGCTTTCTCATTCCCACGCATTTTATTATCGAATTTTAAGAAATCTGTTTATTATATTATGGGTGCAAGTACTTTGTCAGATATATATGTGTTGCAAATATTTTCTCCTGGTCTTTTGCCTGACTTTTCATTTTCAGTGGTTTTTAAGAAATATAACATTTTAACTTCAGGTTTATTCTTTTGATTTAATGTTTTGTGCTTTTTATGACCTAAGAAATCTTAACTTACCCAAGATTATGAATTTTCTCCCTTTTTTCCCAGAAATTTCTAAATTTTGTTTTATTTATTAATTTAGAGAGGGAGAGAGAGAGTGGGGGCAGAGGGAGAGGAGAGAGAGAATCCTAAACAGGCGGTGTGCGCAACACAGAGCCCACATGGGCTTGATCTCACAACCCTAAGATCATGACCTGAGCCAAAATCAAGAGTTGGACAATAACTGACTGAGCCATCCAGGCACTCCTCTAAATTTTATTTTTTATGGTTAGGTCTGTGATTCATTTGAAGTTAATTTTTGTGTGTGGTCTAAGTAAAGGTGAAAGTTTTTTTTTCCATATAGACAGTCTGTTGTCCCAGTATCATTTGTTGAAAAAGACCTGTTCTTTCCTTACTAAATTAGATTTGCATCTTTATTGAAAGTCAGTTGAACATACATATTTATGAGTCTTTCATTTATCTATAGGTCTGTCCTTAGGCTAATAAAACATTGATTTGATTACTATAGCTTTATAGTAAGCTTTGAAATTTGGTAATATTGAGTCTTCCAGCTTTGTGTTTTGTTTTTTGTTTTCAAAATTGTTAGGCTATACTAGCATCTTCGCATTTCTGTGTGATTTAGATCGTATTATAAACACCTACAAAAAAAAATCTGAGGAAATTTTGATTGAAATTGCATGGAATTTATCAATAAGTTTCTGAATAATTGTAAATTTCTTTCAGTCCATTTTTTAGTTTTCAGTGATTACATTTCCCATATATTTGGTTAACTGTACCCGTACATATTTTCATGTTTTTGATGTAACTGTAAGTCATTTTTTAAATTCAATTTACAATTTTTTGTTGCTAACATATAGAAATACAATTAATTTTAGTATAGGGACTTTTGTCTCTGTACTCTGAATTCTGAAAGATTTTGCTTCATGTAGTTTGAAAGTCTGCTATTGCATGTGTATGTATTTAATGATGCTTACGGTTTTTTGATGCATTGACATCCTTCTGATTATGAGTGTCTCTTTTTATCCCTGATAATATTTCTGACATTATTTAATATTGCATTTTATCTCAACTGTTGGCTTATGAGCTTTCATTATTTGAATTTTTTTTTTTAGTGGCTTCTCTAGGCTTTACAAGATGTGCTTAACTTAACACATTTAACTTCAAATGTTATACTACTTTAAAGGGTACTACTATTTACCTCTTCTCATACTTTGTGCTGTTGTCATTTTACTTCTACAATGTGTTATAAACCCCAATCCTCTGTTATTGTATGTGCTTTAAATAGTTATCTTTTGAAGAAATTTAAGAATGAGGAGAAAAATGTATTTTTTTTTTTTTTATTTGAGACGGAGAAGGAGCAGGGGGAGGGGCAGAGGGAAAGGGAGAAGCAGACTCCCCACTGAGCAGGGAGCTTGATGTGGGGCCCGATCCCAGGACCCTGAGATCACAACCTGAGCCGAAGGCAGACGCTTAACCAACTGAGCCACCCAGGCACCTGACAGAAATGTATTTTAAATTTATCTGTACATTTACTCATCCCAACAGTCTGCCTTCCTTTGTATTGATCCATGACTCCATCTCGTGTTATTTTTCTACTGCCTAAAAAACTTTCTTTAGCATTTCTAATAATGTAGGTCTTTCAGAACTTTTATTTTTTGGTTTGAAAAAAGTTTTTACTTTTCTTTACATTTTGAAGGAGAAAAATCTAGGTTGACTTTATTTTTCCCCCTATCAATAATTAAAGCATGGCATAGCTTAACCATACATAATTTTTTTTAAAGTTTTAATTTAAATTCCAGTTACACATACAGTGTAATATTAGTTTCAGGTGTACAATATAGTGATTCAACACTTCCATACATCACCCAGCGCTCATCCCAAGTGCACTCCTAACCCCCATCACCTATTTAACCCATCCCCCATTTCACCTCCCTTCTAGTAACCATGTTTGTTCTCTGTAGTTGACAGTCTGTTTCTTGGTTTGTCTCTCTCACTGTTTTTCTTTTCCCTTGTTTTGTTTCTTAAATTCCACATATGAGTAAAATCATAAGGTATTTGTCTTTTTTTGACTGACTTCGTTTACCATAATACTGTCTAGCTCTATCCATGTCCTTGTGAATGGCAAGATTTCTTTCTTTTTTATGTCTGAGTAATATTCCCTTGTATATATACCCCACATCTTTATCCATAAATTAGTCAGTGGACACTTAGGCTGTTTCCATAATTTGGCTAGTGTAGATAATGCTGGTATAAACATCAGTGTGCATGTATCCCTTTGAATTAGTATTTTTGTATACTTTGGGTAAATACCTACTAGAATAATTGCGGATCATAGGGTAGTCCTATTTTTAACTTTCTGAGGAACCTCCATACTGTTTTCCAGAGTGGCTGCACCAGTTTGCATTCCCATCAACAGTGCAATAGGGTTCCCTTTTCTCCACATCCTTACCAAAACCTGTTGTTTCTTGTTACTGATTTTAGCCATTTTGACAGGTGTGAGGTGATACCTCATTGCAGTTTTGATTTGCATTTCCCTAGTGATCAGATGCTGAGCATCTTTTCATGTGTCTGTTGGCCATCTTGATGTCTTCTTTGGAAAAATATCTTATGTCTTTTGCCCATTTTTTAAATTGGATTATTTGTTTTTTGGGTGTTGAGTTTCATAAGTGCTTTATATGTTTTGGATACTAACCCTTTATCAGCTGTGTTGTTTCCAAGTATCTTCTCCCATTCTGTAGGTTGTCTTTCAGTTTTGTTGATGGTTTCCTTCACTGTGCAGAGCTTTTTATTTTCATGTAATCCTAACAGTATATTTTTCCTTTTGTTTACCTCGCCTCAGGAGACATATCTAGAAAGAAGTTGCTATGGCTGATGTCAAAGACGTTACTGCCTGTGTTCTCTTCTAGGAGTTTTATGGTTTCAGATCTTACATTTAGGTATTTTGAATT